AAGCGGGTGGAACACCGGTACTTGAAGTCCTTCAGAAGCTCTTCAATTCCGTCCTCCATGGTGGCACTACTCCAGAGGCGTGGAGCAGAAGTGCGGTGGTCTTGTTCTTTAAGAAAGGCGACAACGCTCTCTTGAAGAACTACAGACCGATTTCCCTTCTGAGCCGCGTCTACGTGCTGTTTTCGAGAGTCATTACGAATCGTCTCGCACGCAGACTCGACGACTTCCAGCCTCCCGAACAAGCCGGTTTCCGAAAAGGCTTCAGTACCATAGACCACATACATACCCTGCGGCAGATTGTACAGAAGACTGAAAGGTACAATTTGCCACTTTGCCTGGCGTATGTGGACTATGAGAAAGCCTTTGATTCCGTCGAAATTTGGGCGGTGCTGCAGTCCCTTCAGCGGTGCCAAGTTGACTGTCGGTATATCGAAGTGCTGAACTGTTTGTACAGTAGGGCTACGATGGCTATCCGAGTACAGAACCAGAGCTCGAAACCTATCCAACTGCAGAGAGGTGTAAGACAGGGTGACGTTATATCCCCGAAACTCTTCACCGCTGTTTTGGAAGACGTTTTCAAGCTACTGGACTGGAAAGGATACGGTATTAACATCAATGGCGAGTACATCACTCACCTTCGATTTGCCGACGATATAGTCCTTATGGCAGAATCGCTGGAGGACTTAAGCACTATGCTCAATGACCTCAATAGTGCCTCCCAACGGATAGGTCTTAAGATGAACATGGACAAAACAAAGATTATGTTTAATGTCCATGTCACACCTATGCCGGTAGTTGTTGGGAGCACTATGCTCGAAGTTGTTGACGAGTACGTTTACCTGGGACAAATAGTCCGACTAGGTAAGTCCAACTTCGACCGAGAGGTCAATCGACGGATTCAACTCGGCTGGGCAGCGTTCGGGAAATTACGACATATCTTCTCGTCAGGTATACCTCAATCTCTGAAAACTAAAGTGTACAACCAGTGCGTGTTGCCAGTGATGACTTACGGATCAGAGACGTGGTCCTTCACTGCTGGCCGTATGAGGACGCTCAAGGTCGCTCAGCGAGCTATGGAGAGGGCTATGCTCGGAGTTTCTCTGCGTGATAGACTCAGAAATGAGGATATCCGCAGTAAAACCAGATTGACCGACATAGCCCAACGGATTAGTAAGCTGAAGTGGCAATGGGCCGGCCATATAGCTCGAAGAACCGATAACCGATGGGGAAGAAAGGTTCTCGAGTGGCAGCCTCGTACCGGTAGGCGTAGTGTAGGGCGACCCCCCACTAGATGGAGTGACGACCTGGTAAGATATGCAGGAAGTCGATGGATGCAGGTGGCTCAGGACCGTGCTTTGTGGCATTACTTGGGGGAGGCCTATGTTCAGCAGTGGACTTGTGAAGGGCTGTGATGATGATGATGATGATGAATAATAATATAACCATTTATTTCCGAACTTTGGGGTTACATAATATTTGTGTTTGAGTTCCTATTGTAATACTAGTTAAAGTAAGTCCCTCTGTTCGGTGTGCCTTTTGGCATAGGCCTCCAAAAGAAAAATCACGCGTCGGGAATTAAAAGTTAAAGAAATTAAAAGCAATAAAATTGGTAAAAGTAGTCGTTAAAAAACTGTATTTGTGAAAATAAAAAGCTTTATATCATAAAAATCCCGACTTTTTTTAAACCAATTCCTTAACCATTTCATTATTTTAATTGCATATTATCATTTCCATATGCTTTTATATGTGGGCACCCATGACCGAAGTGTCTATGAACAGTGGGCATCCCCCTTTATGATAAGCCACAAAAACATCAGGCTAGCAAATGGTAGATAAAATTATTACCATTAGCGATGTAAACGAATTATTTTACGATTATATCATGATTTAAATAAATTGTCAAAATTTATCTCTATAAATAATTACAATAAAATTAATTTAACCATCTCCTGCTACGATATCAAATCGCTTTTACTACAGGTGGTCGTCTATTGTTACGGTATCAGCTGGCTTTTACTTCAAACGGTTATCTACTATAAATTGGTTTTTATTTAAATTAATTCATTTAAAACATTAGGTACGCTCTTTGGTTTTGCAACAAAACTTCACAGTTATGATGAGTGCTGCAAAATAATAATAATACAAAATAACGTATTTATAGATATTCGTTTCTTAATACGATGTAAGTTAACAGCCGTTAGCAAATTTACTACAAAAGGTAAGGGTTAAACATATTTTATTTTTATAACTACACATATTCACTGCTTTAAATTCAGAATAATGGTTTATACTACAACCTTTTTTTATTTATTTACACTTTATTGCACCTTAATAAAAAGGATTATGAAGACTTAATGCGATTTGGCATTCTCTCCCAGTCAACCCGTTATGTGTGGAAAATAATGTGAAAGGTGGCAAAAAAACTACCGATAAACTTAAAAATAGTTTATATATATAAATGGTATATTCCAAGACTACCTATGGCTTTTACTATAGAATCTCGTTGTATAGGTGTGAGGTGGTGTATTAACTGGCGTTAACTTCTACCAATTGGTGTAAACTCCACGTCCAACGTTACAACTAGTAATTTGACTTTACGTCCTTTATACAACTAGTAATTTGACTTTACGTCCTTAATACAACTATGTAGTAATTTGACTTTTCAAGTTATGTTTACCGTATCATTATGTAACAAAAATAGCTAACTATTTTGTGTAATGATTTCTTATATTTACGCGAACACTATACATTGATTAAAACTACTTTTACGGATTTTATCACGTTTTATTTATATTAATTTTAATACCCGACGACCCGGACCCGGAAAGCACCCGAAACGTCGGGTATTAAAATTAATATAAATAAAACGCGATAAAATCCGTAAAAGTAGTTTTAATCAAACTATTTTGTGTTTAACTTTACAGGTACGTGTACGTTTACACGTATGTTTTCATGGTAGAGCCATACTAAAACTATTATGTTTGTAACACCAATGGGTCGGCTCGACCGCGGAAGGACCACGCTCTCTCTTTATACAATAATATATTGATAATTCGTGTTGTAAAGTATCTTACAAATAACAAAGTATCTTCTATTTATTCTGTCATTCAGTAAATTAAAAAAATGCTCTTGTACACACGAGAGTAAATAAGTTAACCTAAAAACCTACTTTATTACTTTACTTGCCTGTCCAATAGAACATGAGATTTTCGTCACAAACAATAATTCTATTCTGTAATATGTGCACATTTACGACACAATTAAATGTTATTTAATGTTTTCAGTACTCACCGAGACATATCAGACGATTTTTTTTTAATTTTCTCTAGCACATTGCTGCCAACCAGTTCTTGATTCCACTTAAGGGATTGATAGCTGCCAAGAAGCGCCACTAACAGGTTTAATATTACAATTCCTAAATCAGAGCATGTTTTAGTTGCTCTGATTTGGAGGTTATAATATTAATAGAGATACCTTTTTACCATTAGCTAGTTATCATTGATGCGATGTTTTGTACAAACACATCGATACATCGAGTATATCAATAAGTTTTCAAAACATCAGATGCATTCGATGCATCGTATTGTAAACATCGAGTGATTTCGATGCATCGATGCATGTCGAATATCCTTATACAAACCGATTTTAAAACTAGAACTGACTGAACCTGAAAAATTAGAATTTACAAAAAGATTTAAATTTTACTCTGTGGCAAATTGAGTGGTAATATGTTTATTCATTCTCAAGGGTTTTTTCTGTATACTTGGCAAACATTTTGTTATAATATATGAAATATATATAATTTTGCTACTCTCAATACTTTTGGTATTTAGACGCAATTTAACAACTATTTTTAAAGAAAAAGAATTACAAACACAGATACCTACATTTATTTTCGATAAAGAATCTAAATATAGATGCATTATCACCCCTGAGGACTATGATAGAGTGCTTTGATTGCAGGAAAAAGTCTCCGGTTCTCTACACTCACCGTATGAAACATTGCACAATTAAGCTGCTATTATACGCTGTTATTCTGTGAGAACGAGATATTATGTGAAAACTTGGTCATTCCTCGGTTGATCCGAATCATTAGACTGCAACTATAATATAGCTACAACGTGGCTCTTGCATGCATTTCTTCATTTCATTTTCATAGGCTCTTCAATGCATTGCAATCATTTGCCGTATCTTCTAAGGCTCTACGCAAAGATGAGCGATTGTTTAGAAAAAAGTTATTTACTCAAATATAAGTTTTCAATATCATCCTCCTTGTTACCCATAAACAGCTATAAATTCTAGATTTGAGACTCTAAAAGTTAATGTACGTGCTGTTAAACTCCAAGTTTTTTAAGCAAATTGATGGTTACAGTACCAGAGCTTCCTTAATTCGACGCTCCTACCTGTCGCAGGTGGACCGGGCGTACAACGAGCCATCTACCCCAAGTCTATTTGAAGATTTTTGGTCCCTTAAGGTCTTTTTGTTATTTTGATTCAACTCTACTTCAACAATATTTATTTATATAGTTATTGTTTTGCCTTACTGTACTTGACTTTAAATATGTATTGATGAATCTTATAATAAATTTGTTATAATTCAACATATAATGTAATATTTAAGGTTGGCTCACTTTGATATTTTTATGGTTATAGTAACTATACTCAATCTTTGTATTTCATTGTAAAGTTTTACATTGATGAAAAAAGTTTTCACTGGTCTTCTTGCTGTCCCAGGATAAAAAAAAAATTCACAAACGGATAAGAGAAAAATTACCATTGATAATTATTATTTATATATATTATTTAAAAACAAATCTATTTTCTTCCATTCAATTCTATTGACACTAATATGTTTCACTCTAATGAAAACCTTTGATTTAAACTAATGTCAAAAGCTTTGCAACTAATTTTAATTTTTCCGAAACTCAATACTACATACTATCAAAGAGTTTACGGAACGTCGTTTATTAAGGGTACTGAACGTACTATGGACATTAATTTTAAAACAGCTTGGATTTAAGCAATGCGCTAAACTGCTCCAGTCCTGGCTGGTTGCCTTTTTTATAAAATTCCTCCTCTTTGCATCGTTCTAGCCATTGTAATATATTTGGGTATCTGTAAAATAAAAAGCATTGAAAATTTTACACTTTCCTCTATTCATGTGACGTCCAACTAAAACTCGATGCGAACACGGCATTGCGTAGTGTGACATATGAGAAGGTATTTTTATTGAAAAATTTTCATGTAAAATATATTGTTAATATTCGTTAGCAATAATTTTTCATCATTTTGCAATTCATGGTTTTCAATACAATTATTAATACATCTTCATCGCTCACAAAAGTCAAGTGTAGAGGATTCGTCTTAATCGCCACGCTTGGCAAATGGTCGCACGGTGTTTGACGAACGCAGTTTCAGACTTGACGTTGTTTTCCGCGGTTTTTCTGAGTACTTTATGCTTGACGAAGGTTATATCAACATCTATCAGAAGCCATAAGATCTTTTTTCAAATCCCATAGTCGCCTGTTACGACACTCATGTGACGTAATCTGGTGAGATATTCTCGGCGCTAGCACATGGCGGTAATATACATTTAGGTATATGATAATTTCTGATTGTATAATCAAAAAGGAAATCGCAAAGTACTTTCAAATTGCACAAAAACGAACGGTGTTGATGGAATAGAATGAAGCCAACACGAAACATTTCGAACAACTCATCGCAACGTGTTACTTCACCTTTCGCATCGAGTTCACTTACGAAGAACATCGCATGATACGCCGGTGAAAAACAAACTATTTGATTGAGTCTTACAAATCAGAATCAATGGGCACGAGTTCGTTCAAAGAACTGATTGTAGCGACGCAGCAAATGTCAGCCAATGTTATTTCGTCACCAACCAGCCACTTGTCGGTTAAAAATTTATCAGTAAATTCATATGCAATCTTTATCTTCATAAGAGCATCGGGTCTTATCGAATTCTCGCCCCAATACGCGGCAGGTTCCTAAAAATAGTACCAATACAAACATGCTTTTCACAAACGTTGTTTCAAAATAATTGTTATCGACAATTCATTGCTTTTTTTTTTGTGTAACATTGAAACGAAAAACGTACACAGTATATTTGATTTTAAGTGGTTAATGCAACCCATTTCAAGTTATTCATTATGACGACCAGACTCCAATGATGATGTCTCAGTGATCGCAAGGGTGAAAACCGGCAGCGATCACCGTATGGTTAGAGGCACACTGAACCTAAACGTTAAGTTGGAGAGGTCTCGTCTAATGAAGTCAACGCTCCGTCCCCCTCGTGCTCTAATCCAGAATCCCGAGACTTTTCAGCTCGAGTTACGTAACCGCCTTCAGTGCCTAGAAGATTGCAATGCAGTGGACGATATGAATGACAAGCTCGTGGAAACTGTATATGCGGTCGGAGCTAAGTTCTGCAAGACCCGCCGCAGAAGAACACAAAAACTCTCCGATCACACTCTTAATCTCATGGCTGTTAGACGGCAGATGAGGCTGCAATCGTCAACAGATTTGACAGCATACAGACAACTGAACAGACAGATCTCCAAATGCATGCGGCAAGACTTACGCAACTTTAATACTGCTCGTATTAAAGAAGCGATCGAGTGGAACCAGGGCTCCAAAGTCTTTGCCAGAGATCTGTCTGCCAGAAAGAGCCAACTGTCAAAGCTGAAGACTGAGTGTGGCAGCATCGTTTCCGGGACACCTGAGATTTTGAGTGAGAATTGAGAGGTTCTATGGGCAGCTGTACACAACATCGTTGGAGCCACACGCAAGTGTGAGTAACGATCCAAGAGCAAGTCTTACCCGGCACTATTCCGATGATATCCCGGACGTCAGTCTGAGCGAGATTAGAATGGCTCTCCAGCACCTTAAAAACGGCAGGGCCCCAGGCGAGGATGGAATTACAGCGGAGCTTCTGAAAGCGGGTGGAACACCGGTACTTGAAGTCCTTCAGAAGCTCTTAAATTCCATCCTCCATGGTGGCACTACTCCGGAGGCGTGGAGCAGAAGTGCGGTGGTCTTGTTCTTTAAGAAAGGCGACAACGATCTCTTGAAGAACTACAGACCGATTTCCCTTCTGAGCCGCGTCTACGTGCTATTTTCGAGAGTCATTACGAATCGTCTCGCACGCAGACTTGACGACGTCCAGCCTCCCCAACAAGCCGTTTTCCGAAAAGGCTTCAGTACCATAGACCACATACATACCCTGCGGCAAATTTTACAGAAGACCAAAGAGTACAATCTGCCACTTTGCCTGGCGTATGTGGACTATGAGAAAGCCTTTGATTCCATCGAAATTTGGGCGGTGCTACAGTCCCTTCAGCGGTGCCAAGTTGATTGTCGGTATATCGAGGTGCTGAAGTGTTTGTACAGTAGGGCTACGATGGCTATCCGAGTACATAACCAGAGTTCGAAACCTATCCAACTGCAGAGAGGTGTAAGACAGGGTGACGTTATATCCCCGAAACTCTTCACCGCTGCGTTGGAAGACGTTTTCAAGCTACTGGACTGGAAAGGATACGGTATTAACATCAATGGCGAGTACATCACTCACCTTCGATTTGCCGACGATATAGTCCTTATGGCAGAATCGCTGGAGGACCTTAGCACTATGCTCAATGACCTCAATGGTGTCTCCCAACGGATAGGTCTTAAGATGAACATGGACAAAACAAAGATTATGTTCAATGTCCATGTCACACCTATGCCGGCTGTTGTGGGGAGCACTATGCTTGAAGTTGTTGACGAGTACGTTTACCTGGGACAAATAGTACGACTAGGTAAGTCCAACTTCGACCGAGAGGTCAATCGACGGATTCAACTCGGCTGGGCAGCGTTCGGGAAATTACGACACATCTTCTCGTCAGGTATACCTCAATCTCTGAAAACTAAAGTGTACAACCAGTGCGTCGTGATGACTTACGGATCAGAGACGTGGTCCTTCACTGCTGGCCGTTTGAGGACGCTTAAGGTCGCTCAGCGAGCTATGGAGAGGGCTATGCTCGGAGTTTCTCTGCGTGATAGACTCAGAAATGAGGATATCCGCAGTAAAACCAGAGTGACGACATAACCCAACGGATTAGTAAGCTGAAGTGGCAATGGGCCGGCCATATAGCTCGAAGAACCGATAACCGATGGGGAAGAAAGGTTCTCGAGTGGCAGCCTCGTACCGGTAGGCGTAGTGTAGGGCGACCCCCCACTAGATGGAGTGACGACCTGGTAAGACATGCAGGAAGTCGATGGATGCAGGTGGCTCAGGTCCGTGCTTTGTGGCGTTACTTGGGGGAGGCCTATGTTCAGCAGTGGACTTGTGAAGGGCTTTAATGAAAAAATGATGAAGTAAAAAGGGTATCCGGTTCTCTACACTCACCATACGAAATACAGCAGCATCAAGCTGCTGTTTGACGCTGGTATTCTGTGAGAGCGTGGTCCTTCCCCGGTCGAGCCGACCCATTCGTGCTACAACTATATAATTAATATAGCTGCAGCATGACTACCACGTAAAGTTCTTGAACAAAATAAATTTTCGACAGTGAAATTGTTAACAACTAATTAAAAATATCCTTATGCCGTAGCGACTCGTTTAGAATATTTTCTTATTTTGTGATTCATTGCAGTGTTTCAAAATATTCACTTTTTATATAATTTTAATATTTTTGTACCTACTTAATTTAAAAATCAATTACATTAAACTTGTACTCTTAATATAAACGTATTAACACTAAACTACTTACGACTGCAGCCCGCAATGCAACAAACAGTACTCCAGAATCGAAATGAAGCCTTTGATCAATCAAGGCTCTCTTTTTATGTTCAATCGGATAAAGAGCATCATCATCAGTGTACTTTGTCAACAAATACACAGAAATCGCATAGCTGAAATAATTAATTATTTTAGCAGAAAACTATTCTTTATTGACGTAAGGCTAACAGTATTGTCTATAATATAATACACACAGAAGCATAAATATGATACAGGAAGTCCCATAAATAATTCTTTATTGAGTTTTCATAGTATCGATCACAATGATATCTTTCGTAATGGTAGGAAGCGTTTTTGAGATATTTCTAAAGAGAACGCGTAGTATGTTAGCAAAGGGATAGAGTCTCGTCGAGAGTGGTTGTCCGATGGTGGAATAAATTTAATGAAATTAATTTATCATTATAATTTATGTAATAATATTATTATTTATTTACATAATAGACAGGCCTGTTGGTCTAGTGGTTAGTGACCCTGACTGCTATGCCGGAGGCCGTGGGTTCGATTCCCACCTAGGACAAATGTTTGTGTGATGAGCACGATCATTTGTTCTGTGTCTGGGTGTAATTTATCTATAATATTTATATATTTAGAAATATATAAGTATTGTTGCATGAATAAGTCAACTAGCGCCATCTAGTGTCAGGAACGAGAGCGAGGGGAGCTTTGCAGTAAATGACATCACAAATCTTTCGACCGACAGCGCCACCCGAACAACTAAGTTTCTGGAAAATCTACACTCGAATACTCGTTTCCTGGCGCGCATTTACTTGAAGTTTTCGGGACGCTTCTTTGCTAATTATATAAATAGGCGCTGCAAGATGCGATCGGGGCAAAGTTGAACTCGGCGACACAAGCGAAGCTTCGGAGCGGAATAAAGTGAATTAGTGTGTTTAATTATTAGTGTTTTTAACTTTAATTTGTGTAAAGTAAATTAAAGTGTTAATTTAGGTAATTTTATCGGCAATTTTTACTGTCACGAACCTCAAGCCCGTAACAATTGGTGTCAGAAGTGGGATAAAATCATGCCGATTTTACCTAAGGAGGAAACGGAGGGTGTCCGTACCCGAAGTCAACGCCAGCAGGAGACGGACCAACGAAGATTTGGTGGTGCAACGCCGCAGACGTCGGAGGACCAGCCACCGGCTGTCGGTAGCTCCTACATCTGCAGCAGCTGACTTAGGTACTCTGATGGTGATGCTGCAGGAGCAGGCTCGCCGACAGGAGGAACAGGTCCGTCAGTTGAAAGAGCAGCTGCAGAGCGGACAGGAGGAACAGGCCCGCCGATTGGAAGAGCAGCTGAGGAGCGGACAAGAGGAGCAGGCCCGCCGACAGAAGGAACAGGCCCGTCGGTCGGAAGAGCAGATGCTCCTCATTAAGGACCTTCATGCTACCTTTGGGAAAGAGATAAAGGAGGTGAAGGATAAGGTTTCTCAACATGACAACTGCCTGTCGGAAGCTGAAACCCAAATCAAGGAAGCTAAAACCCAAATCGACCAAGTGAACAATCGGGTTGATTACGTGGTGGCTGACGTGAAGAAAACGCTGGACGACCTCAAACTGGGTGATGGAACTACAGTTCCCGTAGTAGCTACTACACCTTCGCTACGTGGGTTCAAAGTGCCACCATTCGACGGGACTTCTTCCTGGTCAGCCTACAAAATCCAGTTCGAAGCTGTTATGAAGGCGAACGGCTGGAATAAAAATCAGGCCATGACTGCTCTCACACTAGGCCTGCGCGACCAGGCCTTAACAGTTCTGGAAGCTCTCGGTGATTAAGTGACTTATGAGCAGCTCCTTGAGGCATTGGAGGCGAGATATGGCGACGCTCACCTGGAACACGTCTTTCGTGCGCAGCTTAAAGATCGCGTGCAGCGCATCAACGAAAACCTGCAGCAGTGGGCTCTAGAGGTGGAGAAGCTGGTGCGAAAAGCATACCGGTCTGTACCTGCGCTCATTGAAGGGAACCTGGTGCAGACATTCATCGACGGCATCCGTGACCTGGAAGTCAGAGCTGCTGTGAGGCTCGGGCACCACGAGACGCTTAAGGACGCCTTGGCCCATGCACTGGAGGTAGAAGCCGTGCGGCACGATCATCATTCCCATCGCGTCAGGGAGGTTGCAGCAGTTACAGTTCGTGATCGCAACAGAGGATACAGCCCTAGGTGCTATGGCTGTGGGGAAAAGGGCCATCTTCGATCCAGCTGCCCTAAGCGAACCCTAGAAAGGGACGGTGAACGATCTCAGGAGGGTAGTGCGGCCAACAGCACCGCCCAGCAGCAGCAGGGAAACGAGTAAAAGCCAGAACTGCGGGGCGGGTGCTGGCTGATGTTAAAAGAGCCCCAAGGATCTCGATCTCACAAACCCATGATGGGAACAGTCTAATCATCAAGGGCGAGGTCAACGGAATGCCGTGTAAACTGACCATAGACACTGGAGCCTCTCGTACGGTTGTTAGTTCCCAACTTATAAGTCAGTTCCTTGGGGACTCCGCATACAACCTAGAAGTGCAACGTGATCTACCTGCATAATGTCATCGTGGCTGATATAATGGACGACTGCATCCTAGGCCTAGACTTTATGAGGAATAATTGTTGTGAGATCGACGTTAGCAAGGTGTTTTGAAATGTGGACAGGAGGAACTTTTTATGGAAGGTGCGTTACCAGGGAACGTGTACAGCATTAAGAAGATTGTTCTTCCGCCGAGATCGGAAACGATTGTTCCGGTTAGTCTTCCCCGAAACGCTGGGCAAGCTCGCCGTTGTGTACTCGTGGAAAGGGTAAACAATGACCTTCCATGGAAAGTAGCTCGAACCTTGGTCAGAACCACTGACATCTCAAGAATACGTGTGCTGAACCTTTGCGACCGGAAACAGATTATAGAAAAAGGCACACTGGTTGGCACTTGTGAGGAAGTGGATTGGTTACGTCGGTGCCAACATATATCGAGTGGGACCCCCAGCAAGGATTGCAGAAACGAGAGTGACCACACTTTTGGAAGACTGTCGCAGTGTTCTCTCCCCGAACGAATTGGTCAAGGCGAAGAAGTTGTTACTCAAGTACGCCGATGTATTCTCGTCAAACGATGCTGACATAGGAAAGACTGGCTTAGTTCAACACAAAATAAACACAGGAGAGGAATTGCCTATCCGTCAGCGGCAAAGAAGATTGCCGGTAGCACGTGAAAAGGAAGTGGAAACCATGATTGAGGGAATGGTGAAGGATGGTGTTATTGAACCTTCATCTAGTCCATGGTGTTCACCCGTGGTGCTGGTAAAGAAGAAGGATGGCAGCATGCGGTTCTGTGTTGATTACCGCCGTCTGAACGACGTTACAAGGAAGGACAGCTAGCCCTTGCCAAGAATTGACGACACGCTGGACATGCTTACAGGAGTAAAATGGTTTAGCACGCTGGATCTAAAAAGTGGCTACTGGCAAGTTGAAATTGACCCTAAGGACAAGGAAAAAACTGCGTTCTCGACGGGAAAGGATCTGTGGCAATTCAAAGTAATTCCGTTTGGGTTGTGCAATGCTCCAGCAACGTTTGAAAGGCTGATGGAAATTGTACTTACCGGGCTAATTGGCGATGCCTGTCTGGTCTACTTGGATGACATCATCATCGTGGGCCGTACGTTTGAGGAACACCTTGAAAACCTGGGACGCGTGCTCATGAAGATTCAGAGTGCCAACCTCAAGTTGAGCCCGAAGAAATGTTCACTATTCCAACGGCAAGTTAACTTTTTGGGGTTTGTAGTATCGGAAGAAGGTATCCGCACAGATCCAGAGAAAATCGCCGCTGTCAAGGATTGGCCGGTTCCAAAAGACAAGACGCAGGTTAGAGCATTTTTGGGTTTGTACTCCTATTACCGGCGATTTGTGAAGAACTTTGCAGATATAGCCAAACCTCTGCACCAGCTAACCGAGGAGAAGCGACATTTCTGCTGGGATGAAAGTTGCAATATCGCATTCCAGGAGCTCAAGGACCGTCTGTGCAAAACACCTAATTTGGGATACCCTGATGCAAGCAAAGAATTTATAGTTGACACAGACGCAAGTGATATAGGACTTGGCGGTGTGCTGTCTCAACGGAATGGTGACCAAGAGGTCGTGATAGCGTACTTCAGCAAGTCGTTGTCAAAACCGGAAAGGAACTATTGTGTCACAAGACGCGAATTGCTCGCTGTGGTAAAGTCGTTGCAGCATTTTAGCAAATATCTTCTGGGACGAAAGTTTCACTTACGAACTGACCATGCTGCACTAAAATGGCTATTGCAGTTTAAAAATCCAGAAGGACAAGTTGCGAGGTGGATTGAACTACTGCAGGAATACGACTTTGAGATCGAACATCGCAGCGGGAAATCTCACGGCAACGCAGATGCATTGTCAAGAAGACCTTGTCCTGAAGATTGCAACCATTGTACTAGGCAAGAGGGTAAGGAAGAGGTATCCGTGAGGATGCTCAGGGCAGACCACCTCAGCAACGAATGGAAGGACAGCTTACAACGTGCACAGCAGGAAGATCCGGACATCAAGCCGATCCTGGAATGGATGAAGGCCAGTGCTCCCAAGCCTAAGTGGAGCGACGTCTCAGCGATGAGTTCGACCACTAAAAGCTATTGGGCCCAGTGGGACAGCTTGCTGCTTCAGGATGGAGTTCTGTGCCGTAAATGGGAAAATGTTCGGGGAGACAGCTGTCATTTACAAATGGTTGTCCCTAAAACCAAAGTACCGAATGTTCTACAGCTGTACCATAATGATTATTCAGGAGGCCATCTGGGAGTTAAACGAACTCTACTGAAGATCCGAGAACGGTTTTACTGGGTCCACTGTCGAAACGATGTCGAGGACTGGTGTCGCAAATGTACAAGTTGTGCTGCTGTAAAGGGACCTCAGACTCGTAGTAGAGGTGCATTGAAGTTGTACAATGTGGGTGCAACATGGGAGAGAATAGCCATTGACGTGGCGGGGCCGTTTCCGGAGAGTGAAAGCGGTAACAAGTATTTCATGGTTGTGATGGATTACTTCACTAAGTGGCCAGAAGTCTTCGCCATTCCAAATCAAGAAGCTTCAACAGTTGCAGATAAACTAGTTCATGAAGTCTTCTGTCGTTTTGGAGTACCTTTAGAGATTCACAGCGATCAAGGAAGGAATTTTGAGTCTCAAATATTCCAGGAAACTTGCCGAGTTATGGGTACTCATAAAACAAGAACGACTTCTTATCTTCTTATCTTATCTTATGGAATGGTGGAACGATTTAATCAGACATTGGAGAGGTACCTAGCAAAAGTTGTAGACAATCGGCAACGAGATTGGGACAAGCACATACAACCGTTTTTGTTGTCATATCGAAGTTCTGTTCACGAAAGTACAGCAGTGACACCAGCTTTCGCAAACTTTGGAAGAGAATTACGGCTGCCTGCGGACCTGATCACCGGGATACCACCTGATGCCCCACGCAGTATAACCGATTGTGCAAATGACTTGCGGAACAAAATGAATGACATTTATGAGCACGTCAGACAATCGGGCCAGCAAATGTCTGAGAAAATGAAAACCCGGTACGACCGCAAAATGAACAATAAAGGGTTCAACGAAGGTTCATTAGTGTGGTTGCACAATCCAGTCCGCAGCAAAGGGAAATCTCCTAAGCTTCAAGCTAAATGGGACGGCCCGTACCGGATTGTAACCAGGATCAACGATGTGACCTACCGGATACAGAAAGGCGCGAGAGGGACTCCTAAGATCGTCCATGTGGATCGCTTGGCGCGTTATTATGGACCGATAATGCTCGGGACGAGCATGTCTTAGGAGGGGCAGTGTTGCATGAATAAGTCAACTAGCGCCATCTAGTGTCAGGAACGAGAGCGAGGGGAGCTTTGCAGTAAATGACATCACAAATCTTTTGACCGCAGAGCGCCACCCGAAGAATTAAGTTTCTGGAAAATCTACACTCGAATACTCGTTGCCTGGCGCGCATTTACTTGAATGTTCGGGACGCTTCTTTGCTAATTATATAAATAGGCGCTGCAAGATGCGATCGGAGCAGAGTTGAACTCGGCGACACAAGCGAAGCTTCGGAGCGGAATAAAGTGAATTAGTGTGTTTAATTATTAGTGTTTTTAACTTTAATTTGTGTAAAGTAAATTAAAGTGTTAATTTAGGTAATTTTATCGGCAATTTTTATTGTCACGAACCTCAAGCCCGTAACAGTATGTTTATCAGTTGTCTAGTACCCATGACACAAGCTCTGCTTAGCTTGGGACTAGATGGCGTTGTGTGATAGTTGTGAAATAATATATATACACACAAAAGAAACATTTATACGGACTACTCTTTGATTGTGTTTGGTACAACCGTATATCTATATTGTCTATAGTCTACCGATCATATTTTTAAGGAGTAACTAAATTTTATATCAAAATATAAATGATGATATACCGTTATTGCAGTTTTTGAAAATATGAGTAAGTAAGGCTTCTATTTTAGTTTGAAAATATTCCAAATTGAATGTGATTTAAGTGCAACAACTACACGTTGGGAACGTTTTTGGTGACCAAGCGACCCTAACGAATATGTTTCGTATGCGTAGTAAAATAGTAAGCGTTAGATATTTAAGAATGACAATCAGGTAAAATTTTGCATTACAACGCATTCTGAATTTAAAAGATAAAAAGGACAGAATGTTCGAATTCTTTTTTTATTAATTTTTCGTAACCATTGGCATATATGACCTCTTCTGAACCTTCTCTACAAATTTAGGCATATATTGCAAAATAACCCTGTACATAAATATTATCAAGTAAACGCATGAAGATTTTTTTTAACTTTTAGAATATTGGATGCATTGTTGCTGCATAAGACATTTTACACTCTACTAGCTTGCCAGGCAAACGTTGTTCTTACCTTTTCGATGACGCTTTGTCATGCCCTATTAAAAATCCTTAAATTATCAAAAAAATTGTGGGTCACTCATGGGTAAAAAAAACTATCCTATCTCTCAGATTGGACCAAACTGCATACGGTTTGCAAATTTGATTAAATTCGGTAAAGTACTTTAGGAGTTCATCGCGGACCAACAACGTGACACGTAATTTGTATATATTAAGATTATGTCAAAAAAGTATCGTTAGATCTCACTGAGGAAAATATTCATAAGATCTTGTGGCGTACGATCAATATCGTCGCACGTATTTCTTTATACCGGTCTGTATAAATTTATCCATAATTAGCTTTTTTATCTAAAATTTCAAGTCAAAGCGTTGCCAACTTTAAAATGTTCCTATACTTAATCATGCTGGGCAACCGTGTCGTTCAGCAATAGATATTCTGTCATTTTCCGGTTGCTACAGCTTCGTTCGTTATGTACTATGTGTCAGGGTTGGCACTTAGTCGAAGGGTTAATCCAACCCTCTATATATTTATGGACGTAATGGGTATATTAATAAAATAAAATCAACTTATTTTTCTCATTCATTACCTGTCCCACACCACAAAGTCGTCATCTTTTAACATAGGTACGGTATGCTGGGGATTCATCTGTAATAATACCATAATAAACGTTAGAAAGAAAGAAAGAGAGCACGACTTTATTTTTGCACAAGCCATTGATCAACAACAACAATATCAACTAGCATTTTCTGTATATTTAATATTTTTTTGAAATTTGAATTGGGGAACACTATATTATCGATACAGATACGAAAATAATTTTTTTTTGGAAACGTTGCCTGTCTGTCTGTTTGGACACGCATCACACAAATATAAATATATATCAATACGGTATCATCTATCATAGGACCTGGGCAGTAAGCATAATACAATTACATTCTGCAGCTAAAATTTGACAAAAAGACCTAAAATTTGCATTGTAATGAGATTGAAAACTCAGACTATCCGATTTGGAGTTTTTCATATATTATTCCTACCCATTACTTTTTAAATATCATGGTTTTTATTTTGTTGTAATAATCAACTAATTAGTATTTTTTCAACCAGATGGCGTTGTAGGTATTTTTAACAGAGTATATTTTTATTATACGCGAGTTATGATGTGAGACTCTTCTGTAAATATTTAGTAATACAAGTATTTTCAAAACAATATTTACACAATATATAGTGGATCCATAAAGATATTATCAATGCAAAGAAACGGGTTGTTTTATGCTAATCATTTTTAAGGTAGGTATTACTCTTCTTTATTTCCTTACTATTAAATCCTTTGTGATATAGTTTTATTAATAGCGCCTATCTGTTAAAAGTGCGAAGAGTATGTATATATTTGCCTTCAATTAAAAAGTAAAATAACACCTATAAATGCCCCACGGCTAGGTATAGGCATTCTTATACGAGTATAGCGGATGCGGAGAGAGCTTTCTTGAGCTGACGCTTACGCTCTCTCTACTTAAATTTAAATATTTCGATTTAGTAATAAAGTGCATGTTATTAATTTATATTATTAATTGCTAAGGAAATTCATACAATAAGACAAATTTTTTTTAACGGAAGTCTATTTTCATTTCGCTGGGTGAAGATTGAACAGTCAATTCATCCATCCCGGCTATGTTTCAAATGCCTATTTATATTTATCAACAGTAACTGTCATACATTACGCCGATGCAATTTCCGCCATTTTTGTTTTAAAATTACTAGAAATTACTATTATACGTCGCTTAAAGCACTAATGTTATACTCAATAATATATAAATATAGATGGGAAAAACATTTTATTATATTTTATTGTATACTCATAAATAACTAAAGAGACACGAATTGTAGTTACCGGCACGAGTCGTGAGCACAGATGAACTGTAGTGGGGGTTGAGTCAGCGTAGGAACACTGTCGCACAAAATTATTTAGTATGTACCTTTATTATTTCAATTGGTAACCGAATATTTCGCCTACTTTTATGAAAATTTTTCCTGAATACATAATATCTTTCAGATGTTTTTGATATTGTATTTGTCTTTATTAATTTTAATTAGATTGTTTCCCCATGCTGTATACCTGTAAGAGCAGTGCAATGCACATACCGACGTGTACTTTGCGCTGGCGATCATTGAGTTCGTGGGGCACCCATTTGTCAAGCTTTTTTACCTTGCCGATTTGACGCAAATGGACCAATATTATTTTGATGCTAACGCCAAAAGCTGCTGCTAATTCAGCCGTAGATTGAATATCATCATTTTCTACAATCACTTTAAATTCGTCATTTTAGGCTTATGTTTTCTGACGACCACAGGGTTCATTTTTTAGGTCGTTATTTCCAGAACGGAGGCGGGCAAACCATTAACAGATGGTGCGTTCGTTTGTAGTATGTGCTCCACAAACGTCGTTGATGTTAAGTGCCGCTTGTGCCGCGTTGCTGTCACGACGGTACTCATATTCCATACTTACTCGAAATTGAATTTAAAGTGCGATGCGAATGCGATGAGAATATAACGCAAATCAATAAACAAATGACTAATTTTGGAAAAGCATTACATGTTTTAAAATAAAATAAATTAGAAGTTAGAATTTCTTGCCAAACAAAAATTATTTTGATTTGAGTTGGCTGTACTGGAGAACCGCAATTTCATAGGTACATACCTATTATTTGCCTGAGATATCGTAAAAGGCGATGGATTTATGGTCGCTTCTTTCACAATTTTTCATCTAAATCCATATTTTTTGGCTAAACTTCGTTCAAGTAGATCGCTGTACCTTGTACTTTGCCTACTCCCCTTGGAGATTATAGGCGTGACGCTTTATATGTTAGTGGAACTTGCAACCTTGCAAAAATATTTCGAAGTGCTGTAAAGGTGAGAAATCGACCAACACGCACTTGAGCAGCGCAGTGGACTTATTGTTCTATAACCCTCTTGGAGATGAGAGGATGTCTGTGCCCAGCAGTGGTTAGTTTATTATACGTAAGGCTCACTGTAAGTTCTGTACTCCTGGCCGTTCACAAATGTTTCCATTTCGAATATTATATTTTTTTAAACACAAGAAGCTCAATTGATTACAGTAATTTCTCGTTTCGTTAACGCGAGGTGATTTTGTAGCGATGATTTCTTATGATTTTAAAGGAACAATCTATCCGCACTGCTCGTCAAAAAATGCTTTTGAGAAGTAAGCACCTCATTTGGGCAGCGTAATACGTCGGTACGCAGAATTGAGGCAGTCAAGAGGTGAGGATTTGTTTTTTAATTGTGCTGTCTGCACGATCCCACCTAATTAGAAAAAAAAATTATGCTGAGTGGTACAAGGAAAAATTATGCCAAGTGTCTTTGAAACACTTCTGGTAAAATGGCCAAGAAGTGTACCATGACAGTGCTTTGGCGCATTGAGTGAACAAGGCAGTAATTTTTTTGCTTCTGGAAAGGTGGAGTTTGTGATTCGACCATCACACAGTCCTTGCACCGTTCGTTCGCATTAAAACGCAACTCAAATTTTGATGAGAGTTTTGACATTCATGGAGCCATATCCTTCAGAACAATGTCTTTATGTTTTCAAAAAATTGTTTTAACGAATAAAAAAATTTTAAAAGAATATTTAGAAAAGCAGAACGTGCATTCGTTTACATATAAATCGTTTTATTTATGAGTTATGCAAAACTTTCATTGTAGCCTACGTGGGACACTTCTTTACTTACGTATTTGATATAAAGAAATTATTCAAAAACGTTATTTTCATGTGATTAGTTCTTTTTGACTTAACAGAAAGTCGGATTCAAAGCATAAGCTTTATATTTATAAGGCAATTTTGTCTACGAAAATCTATTTAAAATATAAATTTTAACGTAGTAGACTCATGCTGCAGTTATATTATGGTTGATGAATCGGCTCGACAGAGGAAACCATACTTTCAAAGAATACCAGTTACTACTGTGTTACTCATGGCCAGTATGGAGAACTGAATACCCTGTTTACTTTTAACGTGATATTCTACCTTAGTCCTCTAGGGTGACCACGTATCTGTCGTTTCGTTTCGGCCTAATCATCCACTTACCATTAGGTGGATTATTTTTGCAGATGTGTCACTCTTATTTTATATTAAAAAAATATTGCAGTATACTTTTGGCTGCGGTAAGACTGTCTAAAAACCTGCACGTTGTATGACCGAACGGATGAACGAGGTGTTAAGCTTTATTTTAAGGTAAAAAAAAATAGTTATAAAAATTATTACTTTTCAAATTTTATTTAGCTTAATTCCAAAGTCTATTAATGTGTGCGAACATAAGTACCCAAGCCCCCGTCAAACTTTAAATACCTAGACTAGAGCATTAAAACAAGGAAATCTCTGTAACTGTGGTTGCAAATACTGCTGTGGCCAATATTTCTGCAATGAAGATGCCCATATCCATCAGTAGATTTTATGAGCTAATATATTGATATATATATTAATAAAGAGGTGACTTTTACACAGGCGATTTTTATTTCATAGGCGATTACTATTCTTCGTTCAAATGTAACTAAATGCTTTTTTTATTTAAGACTTGTAGATGAGGTAGAGCGGATAGTCCAAAAGAAAAGCTATTATTTTAATAATGATTTCTTATATTTGTGATAGACCACAAATCCTCGCTAAAGAACACCGATTCCTTCCAAGGATGATTCGCGAGGCTATTGAAATCAAAAAACCTCCTAATTTCAATAGAGAACATGGCTGGGTACTACCACCTGCTTGGGATCCTATAATAAATAAAATTAAACCCAACCCAAGCACACATCTGCAAGACTTCAAGATACTATAAGTTTATCCTGCATCGAAACAAAAATTAATAATTTTAATCTACGGTAACCGCGGTTAACTATCACATCTAGATCATGGACCGTGGGTGCTGTAAAGTGCTCAAAACGTCGGGTATATAAAAAAGTTAATATACACGATAAGATCTGTAAAAATTAATACTATTATTTTAAACTAATTAGGATGCCATCTATTCCTATGTTTATGTTTGTAGCTTAAAGAAAAAAGTATTTATTTAATTATATATTCAATATGTTACATTACCTTTAAGTATGCCTCTGTTAGTTGTTCACCTTCTAGAGTGCTCACATTTACATACCGTATTCCAGAAATGTTTGCGGCATTAATAACCATATAAACTGAGCGTACTGGCGGGCTCGCATCAAGTTTATACAAAGTCAGTACCATTGTTGACGTACCGCGAATACTTGATTGACTGTAATAATAATTATTATTATGACATGATGGTTTCTAGTTTTGAAAATGTTATTTCTACTCTAGAAATTTCTATTGTACAGTAGAAATGTTTCATACACCTAAATTTCACTTAGATAAGCTATGAACATTCAGTCCATGGAATACGAATCCGTTCTTTGCCACTGCGATGTCGATCTGTCAGAATAATACTTAAATATTGTAGTGGCAATTCTCCTAAAACCGTGAAATTATTTTCCACATCGCTCAAAGTATTGAACAGAAAGGATATGATACGTCAAGTGATGGAGAATTTCATCCCCTTTGCTGAAGTACCCATTGGTGGTAAAGCTCGCCCTATCATAGTTCAACGCCGAATGTGCTTGTGCTGAAAAGCACAAACATATGG